GACTGGGGCAGGAGAAGGCCACAGCGCTGTGGCCTCTGAGACAGAGCAGTGAAAGCTGTTCGTATTAAACAAACTGGGAAAATGTATTTGTTTAGCTGCTTCAGTGTGGAAAGAGATCCTCTTGCAACAACACAAATCTATCTAGTTTCAGATCAAGCAACTTCTCATTTCTGTATCAGGTTCTTTTGAGGAAGTCAGGACACTCAGGGTGCCACCTCCTGATCATGTGCCCTCCTCAGGTGACTGTTTCCTGCAATTCATGTTTCCCTGGGCACAATGATTCAGATTTGGCAGCTGTGGAGTTTCAGGGCTCATCCCTAGAACCATATGAAATATCCAGGGTACCTCAGTCCAATATATACTGGTTGTAGTTGGAAGTTCCTCACTTTCCATCTTTGTACATCAGGATGTGTTCAGCCATCTCTTGTACCCTCGAAGGAAGGCAAGAGGGCTGGGCTAGCCCAGGGCTCTTGGCAGCCCAGCTGCTGTGAGTCTCCTCTGTTCTGTTAGGAAAGTCATGCCTCTTTGTGCTTTGGAGTACCCAGAATTAGAATACCAAGTGAGATGTGTACCCACCAGACAATAGTTATCTCCTGCTGTGTATGGAAATGTGCTGTATGAAGTAGCAGCAGAAACCACTGAAAACAGCTTATCTTAGAATGTGGCTTGATGCTTTCCTGAGAAATATTTAATTCCTGCATTCCAACAACATAACTTCATCTCCAGTGAGAACTTTGTACCTCCTGGTTTATAGGATTAACAAAAAAAAAAAAAAAAAAAAAAAAAAAAAAAAAAAAAAAAAAAAAAAAAAACCCCAAAAAACCAAAAAAACAAAAAATGAGAGTTCCTCCTTCATTTTGTGAGTTTAAAATGAAAATACACCCAGTCAGAAGTATCAGAGGACTTAAAAGCACACAGAGTGTTTCAGTTCACCTCGAAAATCTATTTTAAGAAATAAAATAATTTACAAGTGAATAAAACAATAACCTCCCCTGAGGGAGGGACATGAATTACAGTTACAACATATCTATATCCAAATTTGAAGGATCCATACAGAGGAGCTCTGTAAGCAGGCATCTGAATTTTCTGAGGCTTTGGATATATATTTTTGATCAGAGTTGTCTCTTTTCTCGTTTTGTGTTCCAAAGCTCCTCTGAGGCTACTCATGTACCAGACTGGCTTGAAGTGGTACATCTGTTCCTTCATTATGCTTTGCTCAGGTCTTTAAATACCTGGAGCAAACCCCAGACTCCAGATTTACCTGCTATTTTAATATAGCTGAACTATCTTTTCTCTACTTGGCAGTCACTGTTATTGCACAGGCTGTATAGTTGAAAATCATAAATTTTTCCTTGTGCCCAATAAATGCATTCTTTCAATAGGCTAATGCCTGTATCCTGCAATTATTCCAAACAGGTGGGCACTCTGACACTTGCCATTAGCCAGCCTGCAACACACAAATGTATTGATCAAGGCAAAGATGCACTTCTGACTTGGGCTAATCAATGTATCAGTTCTCCAAGGGTTTTTACAGTGTAATGAGCAGGAAATATATATACCACTGCTAAGTTTCTCTCTCTTCAGGGAGTAACTGAGTGCACTTATAGAAGAGCTGATGTACTGATTCGCAGTAAAGCGAAACGACATCTCCAAATAAAATTTTAATCTTAAGTATGTATGTAAAGTTTTGAGGAAGACTGATGGGAAAACTTGCAAAGTTTGCAGAATTATAGGACTTAATATACAGCTATGGAGCTCCTATGCAATTGTACTTTTTACTGTGAGCTTTCCAAAGCTAACTGGAGTTCAACCCGCTTTTAGACCCCCCACAAGGAAGCCAAATGATGCCACAGGAAGTGGGTTTTTTATGAAGAATTAGTAGTTTCTGCTCCCACTAAGTGTGTTATTGAGCTTTTCACTTTCAGAGGTGATATTCTCAAAATCTGTATTAGTGGCTGATTTTTAATTTACACACTTTGCCTTCAGTTCTGGTAGTGCAGCTCTGTGTTAACAGTGTCAAGCAACAGTCACACATTGTGTTTATTTGCCAAAATGAGCAAGTCAGTTCTCTGCACACAGCCATGAAACCAAAGCATGCTGAAGGCTGGCATTGTAATCACACTGCATTCAAATTTACAGTCAAGATTGAAGACCTCTTATTCAGACTAGATTTGTTAAGCTTCTCTCCACTGATTCTTTCATTCAATGTTCAGAGAATTATACAACTTATCTCCAGTCAGTGGTGTGATTTGTTACCTTCAGTAAAGTTTGATGTGCTGTTTCTGGAAAAGCAGCAGATAAAGGGCTTTAATAGGCTGCACTCGGGATTCTGAGTCAGTGCAAACCAGTGCCGCCTCTAGGGGAGGTCGTGAAGAGTGTCTAAGGTTACCTAAGGTTTAAGTAGCACAGCAGAAAATGGCATAGAGGGAAAAAAACATCCACTGAGAACTTTTGTTTACAGTGAACCAGTTAACCTGAAATAGATGATAAAAAGTATACTGCAAGCAATCCCTGCAGTTTTTACTGTAGTCTCATAGTTGTATTCTTTTCATAATGACAGGATGGGAATTCAATAATTCTTCTTTGGTCTGGATCTCAAAGTCCATACACCAAATACACTCATTTGGCTCTTAAGTATCTCTGAACTAATGGTAGCCAAACCACACATTTTTATAAAGTCTTTTTATACCTGCATGCTTATACCAGTTTTATGGAAAAATATAACAACACTATCACTAGCTGACCCATTTCTTACTGCCTACCCTTTTCAGGGGGCAAAACTCCTTCTGAGAGGCACAAAAGGAACCTAGGAATTCTTAATCTCAAAATTGAATGTGTAATCCACCAGCACAGCATGAGTCATATATTTTAATGCCCAGTGTACACAGGCATAAGTGTACAATTGCAAGCAGCTAATGGGTTTACTCTTTTAATGGAGGAAGTCGGCAGCTAATCTGAGGGCCTGGGGTTCAAACACTACCCGTGACCCAACTTAAATTATTGTTTTATTAAGCAAAGACTTAAACATGATTGATATAGTGTAAGCTATTTAATCTGCCATTATAGAATTATTAACATTCATCCATCTGTTCTATAATCAAAGATGTTAATAAAGTTATGAAGATAATAGTATAACAAGTGTTTTTGCTAATCCCAAATTGTTGGGATAGTTCTCATCTGGGAACAGTGAGGGACACAGCAGGGGTAAGAGTCCATCTCTATTAGGAGTGATTAGTACAACTTTAAGCTATAATTGCTTGGATACATTCACACAGGAGACTGCTACCCAGCCATTAAATATCCTTAAGAGGATGATCTCTTGTTCCAAAAGGTCCAGCAGTTTTTCTGACTTTCTGACAGTTGGGAAGTTTATCTCCACCGAGTGCCTAGAGGGTGACTCACACATACAAAATGTTTCAGAGGTGGCTGACAATTTTAAAAAAAGAAGAAGTTGATACATCATCTTTCCAAGCATATTTCTCTAAGGAGATGCCCAGCAGTTACGTGGCATAAAGGTTTTACTGAGCTGAAGGCACCTTATGCAGCTTACTGTCTCCATAGTCACCCTGGAGAGTCAAGAGCAGCCTGGCTGTTTGGCATTGCCACTGGCAAATCAGCTAGAACTAAACCTGTGGAAAACATGTGACATCTTCCCTTGAGTCTGAAAACCACGGTGTACAGCCTCAGCATGCCATTCTTGGGTGCCTGCCAGGAAGAGCTCCAGGCAGGAAGGGTCTGGCAGCTCATGGGTAACTATCAATTGATAAAGCAGCAAAACAGTGACTCCTCATCCCTTCCACGGTGCTCTGCACTCTCTTCCTCAACCATGTCATGCTTCCAGTTAGTTTGCCTAAACATTCATGAAAAGTACACTGAGGTCTGGAACTCAGGAAAACCCTCTTTTCTCCCCACAGATATGCAAACAGAGGATTCAAAAGGTAAAACTGATACTTCAAGATACCAAGAACGGCATTGCAAAACTGCGAGTTTGCAGAAAGTTATCAACACAACATGCAGATGACAGAGTTTTAACAATCCTTTCTAGATTCTGAGTTTAATGGCCAGTTTTGATTTCTGAGAAGAGCTTAAGATGCACCCAAAGGTGCTACTGCAATTTAGCCAAACTGTCAAGTGAAGAAAACACCACTCAGAGGGCTTTGAAGCCATAAATAATCATGTCTATGTAAGTGATCTTCCTTAACAATTACATTCCACACATTTCAATTTCCTTAAAAGTCAGGTTTCTGGTAAGCTGGGTGGGCCTTCCTATAATTTTCCATTTAAATTTTAAATTGTCCCAAAATTAGTATTTTTCTATTTGGCACAAAGTTTTTAATGGGGTTTTTTTTGGGTTTTTTTTGCTATATGCAAAACTGGAATCATATACCCTCCTCAGCTTTATTAGTAGGCTAGACAGCCCTTGTACAGCTGGAGCACACCCCTGTTCTGAAATACAGCAACATGCAGAAGCATAAATGGAGCCCTGAACATTTACATCTCCACTCTATCTGTTGCACTGGTGGCTTGAACTAGTACATGCTGACTGATTAAGGGGAACTTTCACTTCATCTGATGTTTTTAATGGAATTCCAGATTACAGCTAGAGTTCTCTTTAATGTTGCATTTAGTTTTATTTCAAACTTTTTTTTCCCTAAGTTCTGACTATATAATGGTCCAGAAATGTTCCAAATCATCAGTGCCTTCAAAATTTACATCATCTGCTGTAATGCAAATTAATGCATCTGTTTTGTGTCCAGGTAGTAATGAAAACATTTTTTCAGCCTTTTATATTTGATCAGCCTTTGAACCAATACTCTCTTTCCAAGAACTTTCCCTTTCAGTTCAGCTAAATATCTACTCTTTAGCCAGTTTCTTGCTCATCTTATTCTTTCTCCAATGTTTTATGGATGTTTCTGTGACATTTCACAAAAACATTAGCTGAACTACTGTTTCAACACCCTTTACTCACAGTGCCACGTTCTACCTTTGAGGCTTTTTACCTTCAGAGTTCTCAACTTTTCATAACATTGTATTCTACTTCTTATGCCTTAACAATCAGAACTGAAGGAGATTGAAAGGGCAACAAAAGCACACTCATCTAAAAAAAAAAAAGAAAAAAAAAGGTCAGGAAATATTTATTCTTTCTCCAAAATTCTGAAAGTTTTTATAACTTAACTCCAATACAAGTGCTTAAAGCAGAATGTAGAAATAAGGAATGATAATTAAGATATGAAATGAAGGCATGTAAAATACAAATATTAAATCTAGAATCATCTAGAACTTCTCCAATGCCTTTCCAAGATTGCTGCCCTCTGCTGATGTCCTTACAGACTTCAATGATTTTCAAACTTTTATTCAATGTTCCTAAGGAGGAACTGAACAGAAGCTGACCCAGGACTACAGTTAGTTTTGACATCTTTTTACTCAATAATGAGATAACTTTCAAAGATAAAATATCTGGTTTAGTTTTCCTTCTGAATAAGTAAGATTTGTGGGTTCTTTCCTACTTACCTCCTTTCCTGTTTGCAAGCTGCATCCATTACTGCCACAATGAAGGTTTATCTCATGAGCAGGGAATCAACGTTCATGTGTTTACCTACAAAGGGAAATAAAGGGAAATTGGTTTCCTATCTTTTTCCACCAACTTTGGAGTCAGCAAATAGGCCTTACTTTATTTTATCCACAAGTCAAATATATTTAGAATTCTATACTTAGCTTAGTCTACATTTTAAGTCACTTACTCTGATAACTGTTTTGTTACACTTGGAAAGCATCTCTAAGCTGCAGGTTCTTGATGCATCTGTAAAAATGAAGCCTTTCTATTTGTAAACAAGTAAAACCAGATAACTGCAATGTAAGCAAAATATCTGCCTCTTTCTCCTGCCCTATTAAGAATAGCAAGTGCTCAGATCTACATATGTATCAAAAAAATGGATGTCCATGGATTGAAGTGAATGCAATAGAGGGGGTAATAGGACACCTAGTTCAGATTAAACAAAAATGCTGCTTTGGTACAGTGTTGTTTCTACTGCTTTGACTGCAATGGAAAGAACACTTGTTTAAGAGGAAAAGTGCCATAAAACTGCAAAGCCTTCCTACCCCACCTTTGCAAGCAGATGATTATGTCAATCATCAAGTCTATACACAAAATCTGCATTAATTATCTCTCCAATTAGATGTTTCAGCAAAATGAAGATGTGTAAGACACTACATCAGGTCCAGCTCAAACCATCCTAGCAGAAATGGCCTGATACAGGAGTGTGGCCTTCATTCTGGATCACCATTGCTAAAGTTTTCCAAAGGTCTTACCCATTTGCCTCACAGCAAAAATCATGAAATGTCAAGTGTTCTCTGTGTCTCAGTGCAGTGAGTTACAGTCTGGATTAGAGCCTGAATCCAGAAGATGATAAGTAGCCTCCTTGCTGCTCTATTTAGACAGTGTGAGATTGACACCTTCTGTTTCAGCCCTTCCATAAAACACAGAAATAAATGGAGCAGTTTATTCTGCAAAGATCCTTGAATTCCCAGAGCTTTCTGCATCATCCCTGGGGTAAGTATCACCTCTACTCCCTGCAGTAATGTTCCAGCCTTAAAGATTTGGGCTGAGATGGAGCAGTTAAGACTCACAGTCCTTCTCAGTGCTTGTGAGGCAGCCAAGGTGGCAACTTAATACCTTTTCTAAAAAGCCAACTGGTCAAGTACAATGCCTATATACTGACAAACCAGAGTATGTCTGGTTTGTGGCCTCCTAAAGATCAAATTACACTCTTGTGATCAGAAGCATATGATTAATTGTAAATATGACATTTACAAACCAGCCAATGGTAGATAGTGGTAGTATTCAACCTGCTCCCATTTCTTCATCTTTCAGCAGAAAAATTTCCCATTGCAGTGCATTACAATAGGGGAAACAAATAGAATCCCTCTATCAACACAGCTGTATAAACATGTCAGAACCACTCTGAACAGGAAAAATTACTAAGAAGCTCACATTATAAAAACTAAATATCGGACCAAAACGCTGAACACTTTGTAGAGTTTTCCCTTCATTTTATGAAAGAGATTAACTGGATTCAAGGTGGGCTTGTAGACAGGCTATTGTAAATTGGACCAGAAATCATCAGACACCTACAGTCTGAATTTGACCCCATTATATTAAACAAAGAGCCCTGAGAAATAATTGAGCTGGGAGCTGCACAACAGCCTAAACCCCTGCTGGCTGACAGTGTCCAGCAGAGAACAAATGAACCCACTACTAATGGTAGTCAACAGCTTCTTCAGAAGACTGAACTTATCAGCCTCTAAAGAAAAAACATTATTCTGCATAGTCCTTAAATAACCAACATGATGCAGAAAGCTGGCCAAATTCTCAGCTCCTGTAAATTGCTAAAGCTCTTTTGTAATCAAAAGTCCACCGAGAATTTAGATTATGACCTTATCAACTTTCCTTACCAAAAGGAGTATGTGAAAAGAGTAACAAACAAGCTCCAACATTATTCTGTGTGTAGGCTCTTACATTGGCATTACAGATGGGAGGCTCTCTCAGCAGTCTGGGTGCAATGGCAGAGTCCCCAGAAGCACTGATGCACGATGATCATACATTATCCTGCACACAGGTTGACTGAACAGGTGTGCTCCTCCCCAGGTGAACGTGTCAGTCTCTAATGCGCCAATAGCTCATCAGAAAACACCAGCTCTTCATCACAGGCTCTGAAGTTGGTTCTTCCCCAGTGATGGCAGCTGTTGGAGACATGGAGGCAAGATCAGGTTTTTCACTTTTGCATTTTTAACATAGTTGAGCATTAAGTAGTTCTTGTTCTAGAATAAATGGTGTAGATCCACTGCTATGTATTTTACAGGCATAATAAGGAGTACTGCGAATCTACAAACATAAAAGTCTTGGTGACTTTCTGGCAGTGGTCACTGCTATCAGCTATGGTTGGTGACATTCATGCTGCAAATTAATGGAATAAAAACCAAGCTTCCTACCTAAATTAGCTGGAATACAAAGCCCAGCTGTTTTGTGGAGAAAAGAGAATTAAATAATCCATGCCCCACTTAAACTTCCTAGCACACAATGATTTCTCTATGAACCTGCAACATCTCTAAAAAATGCTTCCATTCTTTTGCAGAAGTCAAGAGAGCAGGTAATTAGAGCAGAACCTGAAGGTGCTTCCCCAAGCCAGGCCTGACCTGCTGCTCCCATGGTGCTCAAGCAGCTTCCCCTAGGGCAGAACAGACAGACCCTGAGTGACTCTCCTCTCTGCTGAGCTGTGGGCTATGGACAGGGCAAACCCTGCTGTCTCTCAGATACAGTGGTGGGGAGGAGGTCCTCCCTTCCCACCTGGGGCACTTTCAAGCTTCACTCATTCCTCCACACTGGCCTGAGCTGTCTGCAGGGCTTGGCTTTTACAGGGTTTATAGTGGGGAAGAGAGTGGCCAGCACAGAAATCTTAGTTGATGAAAAAAAAAGGGCTTGTACTTGCTGGGAGTGTCTTGCATTTTGTGAGAAACAAAATATTTGGTTTATATTTAAGCTCTCACTTTTTACCTGACAAATTGATCAGTGAAGGTCTTCTCAGGTTCTACCAAATGCCCTTCTGAGTACTGGAACTTGTGGCGAAGGTCTGAATCTCAGCACAGGCTGATGCAGAGACAGTGTATCATTTGCAGCATGTATACAGGGTACACCAATAATTCCAGTGCCATGTAGAAGGTCAGTCTGATTAGAACTCTTTTGCCATATTCTGTGTTTTGTCTTTTTTTCCTGCAACTGATCAGGGAATCTCAGAATTAATTAAATCTCTTGATGTACTTAGACAGCTTGTGGAATAAGTGGTAAGATGTTAGAGATACTGAACTTGTTCATCTGATTTCATCTCTGTAACCTGAGCTCCAATTTAATGCTGTACTTCTACCCTCTTGAAGATTAATTACTGTGTGAGTTAGCAAGTCATCTCACCAGCTTTCATTTGTGAAGAGTGGAAGTCAGTAGAAATGTAATTCAGGTATTACTCTGGCTTTGTACATGACCGGTGAAAATTCAAAGATTTAGCAGTTAAATATATTAACACTACAACACTCTTCTCTTGAAGCCAACTCTTGAAGCCAATTCTAGGGCCAACTCAAGCATGGTTATAGGTGAAGGAAAGTGACTAACATTTAAATTCTGTTTTCAATTCTCTCAGTACAGACAAACTCAACCACAGGTCCCAGTATCAGAGGAGTTTTCAGGATTTACACTTGTGTTAGTGAATGTGATAGTAATTATTCAGATTTTAATTTTTTAAAAGCATATCACAGCTTTGTATAAATAACAGCCTTAACATTGGCAGGAGCATCACAGGACTGATTTTACAGTTGCAGCCTGTGATTGTTCCTGCTGGCTCTGCAGCTCTGAGCTCCAGGGTACCAAGGTGTCCTGTTTAAGATACCCTGCTCTGGACCTCTAATCTCTCTAAATAATATGAGGTAAATGGAGAACTCCGTGAGACTCCATGTTCTTACAGCTCTGCCATGAGGACACTTCAGCGAAGGGGACCAGATGGCATCAGGCTTGTGTTTGTGCCAGCAATACAATTCGGGTAGCAAAAGAAAGCTCAACAGCTTGAAAATAAAACAAGGTGGAGATACAGGAAAGCAAAGGGATACAGGCAGATGTTTCAGTTTAAGAATGATACATTCAAGAAGCTTTAGGTTGCTGGACAGTAACTTATTTTGAAATATCATTACCAAAATAATATTAATTCGGATTTCTCAGGCACTCAAAGAAGAATATTTTCTTGTCAAAATGAAATTGATTAATTTCCCTTCATTTTCAGAACTGCATAAGAAGTGCAAATCTAATCTTAAACACATCTGAGGTTTTAGATTTTCTTGGTTAATGTATTTAAGTCCAGCAAGCTCAAGCACTAGTCACATACAGAAAGGTTCAGAAAGATGCTACATGGAAGCCCAGATAAACCTAAGTCTGGATTGCAGCTTCCACAAAGCTTCCTTTCCTTACTTCCAAGAGCAGAGGTAGCTTTGTGGACAACCACTCTTTGTAATTTCAGCACTTGTCACAATTATACCTCTCACAGAACAAAAAGCCCTCCAAGCTTGTGTTTCCTGATGTGCAGAAACCTGCCTCAGCCCAGTGGGCTCTTGTTTTGCCAAGGAAACACCACTTATCCATCCCTAGGATCATTGTAGTTCTTACAATACTGTCGATATTGTCACTGCTCCTTGCAATGCCCCCTAACCAGGTTGCTCTGCCAATGGCACCCACATCCCCACCCTCAGTATATGACACACAGTTTTACACAGTCTGTGCACAACACAAACACCAGTTATTCTTTCCTGGAAGGCCTTGTCCCAGGAGGGCTAAAGGAGGCTTCTCAATTTAGACCCTTAGGGTTAATGGATCTTTCCAAGGGATTGTTACCTCCAGGATTCAATCTCTGCATCATTTCTCAATACAGCTTTAAAATATTGCTTACAGCACTGTTAAGAACTCATAGCAGTTACCTCCAGGAATACTGTTTGTTTTCTTATGGCTCTTTTAGGTTCCTTCAGTGATACACCCTAGAAATGCATCCAAGCACAAGCATCACTGTCTGCTTTAGCAGGGTACGAGGCTGTCTGTTACAGAAAACATGCAACAAGTCTTGCATTAATTCAGACGTCCATCCCTTATCTTGACATCTGAAAATGGCACCTTCTGGCAGCTTCCCCTTTGGTATCGTCTTTCTTTTAAGGATGATGTATAGTGGCAATTTTGCTTTATCTGCTAAGACCACCAGCAAAGTGACAAATCTGGTTTTTTCATTGGCAGTGTTTTTGATAAGTCATTTGGGCTGCTTTAGTGCATGGTAATATGATGTCCAAAAAATCCATGGCATGTCTAAATTAAAAAGGGGATGTCTGATTTGTGTTGCCTGTGTGCATTTGTAAATATTTGTGAATTTTTTATATTGCTGCAACATGTTGAAATTTTAATGTTTTATCATTTAGTTAAAACAAACTTTATCCTAGTGCTATATTACATCAAACATCTTGAGTATTACATCATTTTTGCATACCTAAGAATCCGTGGTTTGATTTCAGTTCAGGAAGATCTGTCCCGCAAAGTAATTTTTAATTGTGATGGGAATCCTGAAAGAACCTCCTTCTAAAACTTTTTGTTAGCTTTTCTAATCTGAATAGCCCATTCAGAAATTCATTAGTAGTAGAATAATAATTTTCTTCTTTCTATAAAACTTTTAGAAAGAAATGGTCATTAATCTACTAAGAAGTTTTTATATTTCTCATACCATAAAACATAAGGCTTCCAAAACCTCTTCACAAGGCCTGGATCTGCACCTGAAAGTACTCAGTAGCAATGGTAATTGGTATGTTTCAGAGACAAAGGAGAAAATTACATGTATTAAAAACCACAAACTATGTTATATGCAAGCAGGGGTAGCCAAGCAGTAGAAGGCGTTCGCTCTGTTCTCACCTTTGAAGGAGCCAGTGGCTCAGAGCAGCTGCTTTGGCTGCTTTTGTTTGTCACATTGAGGAGGAAGAGCAGGAAAGCAGCAGCTCTCAGAGCTTCTCCTCCCTGGGGTAAGAGGTAGAGGCTAATTAGGAAACCCTGCTAGTGAGTGACTACACTGGAGTAGCTAAAAAAGATGTCTGTCATTTTATACTGTCTTAATAATGCACCTTCTTATTTAATCTTTTTTAACATCTGCCTGTTTCTGTAAATCTACGCTTTCAAATGAAAAAGAAATCCTATAATGTAAAATCTTATCTAGTGTTGAAACAGATAAAGTATTCAATATTCCCAGTGCTGATATCTTTAAAACTGGGGTGCAAAGCTTCTGTCTCATCATCCAGCATCCTGGTATATTCCTTCAAAGTGTTAAGAGAGGAGACTAATAGGTCTTTTCCCCTGAATGATATAGCCCAGTTTTTGAGCTGGAAACCCATCAAAAGAAGCTTTTAGCTGCTGTCATCACACATTGTTATGCCATATGATCTCCCTCTCAGTCTGCAGTGTCCCCCTTGAGCTAAGGCAGAAAAGACAATTACAATTCTTTCTTTTTATCAAGAAAAAAAATAGAAAACCACACTCCAGCACTATGTTCTTGTCCTTCCCCAGCCAGGCAGCTCGTTTACTTCTTGCTTTGGTGCCAGGTTAACTAATGATGCCTGTTTCCCTAGGCTAAGAAGGTCCACAGAGTTTCATCCAAGGGTCTTGTCTGAACAATACAGTTGTTACAAGGGCCAAAGCAGAAATCAGTGTTTGGTCACCATATTAAATAGCTAATGGTTAATGGTCCATGTTTGCATCCTTCAGGCCCAATACTCCCAAGGGGTTTGCAGAGCTTACCTCTCTGAGATTGTTCTTCTTCTCTGAGGTTGTTCTGATGTCTTCTTACAGCATCTTTTACTTAAATTTATAAGCAAAAAGCCACTACTTACAGTCTTGACTTTTGAAGACCAGTAGCTTCCAATCAGCCAGGAAAATAATCTTAATAAATCATTTTTACTTTTTTGTCTTCTCATTCCAGTAAAGAACTGGGAAAAAAAATATCTGAATTTTCTACAAAATGGAAATTCTAGCCCCTCACTAACACTAAATGGTGTAGAGACCCACCTTCCTATCAGCAAAGTGGCTTTTGATTTTTTGGTTTAAGTGTTTCACTTTGTGTCATTTTATGTCACAAAATGATAATAATAATAATCAGAAGACATCTGTATTGGGAATCACCACA